TCTCATCTGCAAATCAAGTCATTTCATAGTTGAGCAACCTCAACATCAAATCTGACACCTTATTTGATTTAGGGTGATCTTTAATTGTTAAGCGTAAGCATAATGATGAGCCTTAAATAAGTATTGGTTACTCCATCACCTCTAATAATAGTAGTCAAACAAAAACAAGACTCACCTTATTCTAACAGGATATAAGCATCGTTAGAAAGAGGATATAAGAAACTAAAGCAAGATTAGGAGAACCTAAAAACTTGAAACAAATATTGGTTGCTCCCTTTCTGATCAATTTGCACCCTAAGTTAGTACCCATATGTATTTGAAAAAAAGGATGAGCCCCATCCCCGAGGTCCCCCTTAGACCCAGCTGACCGGACAGTAACTAAGAGGAGGTAAATTAGACTATAATCGCAGATTGAGGCAACTATGCTTAGAGGCTTGAAATTTAGTGGTGTTTGTCATTCTTGGGCACCTTAACTACATATAGGACACTCAAACTAAGGGAAATGTTATCTGCAATCCTATTTTTTGTTGGTTGCAACCCCTAAATCATTATTTACCTCTCACATGCCTAAATCATCTCTCACATGAATAATGCAAAACGTTATTGTCATTCTTGGGAACCTAAACTAAATCTATTCAATTCCGCCCAAACTGTTTGGGATGGGGTTCGTCCTTTTTTCTGTTAACATTCGGCACATTGCCAATTGCAACACTAAAGAAGATTAAGGGGCATGAAATTCATAGTCAATTCAATTAGTTGCCGAAATTAGTCCAATCAATGTTTTACCCCAGATGCCTTCAGCCTTCCAGTTGCAGATTTCTAAAGAAGGAACAAATCACTCAAACAATAAGAACGTTTAATTCTAAAAACTAGGGTTCGGGTCCATCTGCATAAAAGGTATTTGAATTTCAACACTTCAAGGTTCAATCATTCAGAATCAATATTGGTAGATTCAGATGGCACTACGGCAGTCTTCGACAGAGTTCATCATACAACTTAAAGTAGAAATAAATTGTTCAAATCAAATAAAACACATAAAAGAAGCAAATTGTGGCACAAAGGGTTTACTATTTGGAAGAAAGCACGAGACAAAGGGAGGGGAGCAGTGAAAAGGGACCTCATAGGGATTGGTCTTGATATACGGACGACCCAGACGCTTGGCGATTTCCTTCTTTTGTTCGACGGCCTTGTTTGTAGCTTCACGGTTCGGGTCAAGATGCCGGAGCCCGACGAACAACACGAGGCAACTTATAGCTGTGCTGGCGGCGTACCAGAACAATTTCTCCAAGATCTTCGTCCCCGGGGAACCTCCACCCTCCATCGCAACAATAGATTAAGAAGTACTCGATAAAATGAAAAAAAAAAAATCACTGAGAGCAATAACAATATGGGGCCTGTGTTTAACGATGAGCGAGAGGAAGTTTTTTTTTTTTTTTTTTTTTGAAAAAGAGGAAGTTAGAAAAAAGGAAGACGAAGAGGCGCTATAATAGCCCCCCACCACCACATGGGAGATCTATTGCGGGATACTCTATTGGATTATATATTTCTTGTCCTTTAAGTTGATGAAAATTGTTAATGAGAATTGTTAATGAAGTGTTTTAAATTTATGAATCAGTTTGTAATATATTTCTCTTTGTTATTTTAAATTTTCCTTCAGATTTAAACATGATTTTTTACCTTAATCATTTTTCTAAAGACTAGTCTTACTACATAAAAATGTAAAAAATAGATATTAAAATAATGAAAATTAGAAGCAAAACTAAAATAATACTCCGTAAACAAATAACGAAATAAAAAGATAATAAATAAAAATTAATCTTCAAACTGGTAACAAATAAAATAAAAATGTACGGAGTATTGAGTCATAACGTTTTAGGCACTATAGAGAATATTAATGGATTACGTTCTCTCGTTGATAAAAAGAAAATAAAAAATCAGAAATAAAAATAATAATTTTCTTATTAAATCCCTAATAATGAAAATAAAAATTAAAAAAATAAGAAAATCATTTTCTTATTAGAACCTAATTTCATTTTAGTTATTTCTTAATAAGAAAATTTATTCTTTTATTTCTTTAGATTTTAGTAGTATCTCACCTCTCCCACAAGGGAAAAATAAAAAGGAATCACCCAAAATATAAGTAAAATATAACTCTTATCCTCAAAATAAGAGTATATTTTTATCTTCAAAATAGAACTTTGCACTATGACAATGTAGAACCATATATTGTCATTCCACAGTGGTTTTTGGTTTTACATAACTTTTTTAATAATGTAGGTCCTATTTTAGGGATAAAAATATGAAGATTATATTTTGGTTCTTTTCTTATTTTTATTCAGATTTTAGTCTTTCTCTCAAATATAAATTCTTTTTAATTCAGATTCAATTTTCTTACATATTTATTTGGGTGATTAATTTTATCCGAAATACTTTTTTGTATTTGAATCTTATAAGTTTATTTTGAAATTAAATTAAAATGCTATTTTTTCCTCTATCATTCAAGATTTAAAAAAAATTAATTTCCTTTAACCTTATATTTGGAACATGGGTTAATGCCATGTAAATTTAGAAGCAAGTAAATTATTATTGGTATTGATATTAAAAAAGGATTAGAAAAAGTACTAATGAGTATGAAAAAGGGATACATTTAAAAAATGTCACTGAACTATTATATTTTATCAAAAATATCACTCTCTTTAATTTTGTTTCTATAATGTCACCAAATTTTTATAATTTGTCTAAAAGAGTGAAATTTTCGACAAAATAAAAGAGTTTAATTTAGTGGCATTTGTTAAATTTCTTTTTCTTATAGGAAAATTCCTATGTGATCTTGGGTCTATACTCAATTTATATATCTTAGTACATAAGTACCATGTAAGAGTTCGGCTTTTTGTAAAAGATAAAAGATCTACTTGTAAGCTCATTAAAAGTGTGAAAAGTTTCATTTTTCTCATGTAGACCTTAGGGCTAGAAGAGTATAACTCTTTATTTTAACCTGCATTAACAGGTTAAAAGCGAAGAAAGTGACATTTTTGATATGTTATAAGAAGTTTAGTGGCAGTATAATACAGAGCAAATAAATAAAAGACAATGATATTTTTGAAAAAATATAATAGTTCAGTAACACTTTTTATGTAACGCCCTATAAACCGGCCTAATAGTTAGCCGATATTTTAAATAATTAAATACTATTTATTTATTAACACTACATTATTTTAAATAATAAATATTAAGATTTTGATCTCTTTAAATTGATTTCAAAACTTAACCTATTTTAAATATAGAGAGAAGTTTTCAATAATGGGCTTCTCAACATTAATTGATTAAACAAATAAATTAATGATTGAGATGGACCGAGAGGTTGGAAAATAAAGTGTTGAGAAAACTACTTTGAAGACGCCATAAATTTAGGTTTGACTGTCTATTTCAAAAACGCAATCGGTTTTCAATTCGGAGTTGTTTGGGCAAAAAGCGCGTACGGTTTAGAATGAGTAACAAAGGCGATAAGGCCAGTCTACCAAAACTGGTCCAATGGTGACGAAAAATGCGAGGTTGCTTGGGAACTCCCGTCTTCATTCTCATTCTGTCCCATTCAATCCGTTGTTCGTCGGGTTCGTGCCAAGCCCCAGAAACCTCTGCAACATATTTGGGTGAAGAATCTAAACTCAAAAGGTTAATTGGGAGTTGGAAAGTTGATAGCTTTCACATTCGTACGTTGACCGTTCATTAGTTCGTTTGGTTCTTTCTAACATTGAATTTGTCGTATCATATTCGAGTGAGGGTCTATTGCGTAGGACTTATTTTTTCTACTTATTACTTATTCTTATTAAAATCAGATCATAAGTTATTCAATAACTTAAATATTATATTTGAATGAGGAAACAATCCTGGAGGGCATCGATGGCAGAGAGCTGGATGAATGCTAGCTGAGAAGTCATTTTTTCACATTCTCATCCCTGCCGGCAACAATTTGTACAATTTTTTTACGGTGTTTTAAAACATTTTTTAATCTCTTTTTATACAAGAGTCAATCATTTGTTGTTAATTGTTGCTAAAGATTGTTGTAGTAGTATAAATTGCCGAGCACTTAATGCAAAGTGCGAAATAAATTATTTGAAAAATTTCTAAGCACTTAATGCAAAGTGCGGAATAAATAATTTGAAAATTTGTTATTTTTGTTATTTTAAAAAATGTTATTGTTGTTATTTCAGTGTTCTAGAGCTCTTGATTAAATTTAAATGTTTAAAAAATATTGATTGCTTTAAAAATCTATTTATTTTTAATTTCAGTTTATTTAAGCAATCTGCAGAAGTAAAAAAACAAACAGTCTTCTCTTGCAGACTGACCTTTGGTCCCACCTCTTCTCTTGCAGATGTGTGTAGATGTGGTCTGCAGACTGCAGACCTTTTTCTGCAGAAAAAACAAACATCACCATAGACAATGTTAAATGTAAACTTGTTTACAATTTAAATCCTAAGTCTTTTGTCTCGGCTTCATAACTTCGACGTCTTTCTTTGTGCTTTTCAGTTTCTTGGATAGTTCTTGCCATCGCCTTTGAATGTTTTCACTTTGTTACATATTCACGGTGGATTTTCAATATCAAAACCTACATAGAATGAATATTGAGATTAGCAAAACATCAATTCCAACAAAATGGACTCATTTGGAAAAACATCTGCAATATTAGAAAAGACCATTTTGAAGAAATAGTACAAGTTTTAACGTTGTTTTCACAGTCATCAGTCGATGGACTAAATTAAGTATTATTCTTAATTAACAAGTGACAGCTCGATAATTATGTAATTTTGAAGACTAATTTAAAAAACGTATAATAATTTTGTTCCATTTTGAAATTTACTCAAAAAAAATACGGAGTAAAAAACAAAATAAAAAAGATATACGGACAATGAAGAATAAAAAACGGGACCAGCGAATCAAAAGGCAGCGGAAATGATATGCGATGATTAATCAATCTAAAGATTCTAAACTGCAAACGAATGGCTGAGGACGAAGAATTCCTCACTTCAAAGCGCCACACAGACAAATGCTCTGCACACCCCTAAAAAGCCAATCTCCTTTTTTGAGTTGAGAATCATCGCCTTTTTTTTTTTTTTTAATTTTGCACAAATATTATCCACTGCATTCCAATCATTGACCGATTCGTCTGAGAAAGTTTGGCATACGGACAAATGCGTCAAAGGGAAGAAACATTTATAGCCCACCAGCTGGTCAAGAATCGCTTCTGAAGTTAATTGCAGCTAATATTGTGCTTCGTTCTGAAGTGTAGTACACCTACCATACGAAGATGTTTCTGCTTTTGTACTACCCATGTAGTACAAGGCCTCGCTCTAAGCGTTTGGTAATTCTTTATAATCTCCGCTCGTTCATTTTATGGCCTGCATTATCTCGACATCAATGGTAGTTCATAGGTTTGGATAAAGTTCTTTTCTGGGCCCTCTGGTATTTATCAGTCATTGACGATTTTCAGGTGGGAACGAAGAAATTGATTGGGATTCATTGGGTTGAGTAATAACCATTTCTTGATTTATCTTTGGGTTGACTTACTCAGGTAAGATTCTCAAGTTCTCTTTTGATAAAAGCGTTTGAATTTTTGGGTTTTGCAAAGGGTTTTAATCTGAATGATTAAATTGTGGCGGTATGATGAGTAGAATGAGGAAAGCAGAGGGGGAAGAGGCCGAACGGGTGATGGAGATTGAAGGAGAAGAGAGGGGGAAACCAGAGGGAGCCACGGCGAGGGTTCCTCCATGGAGGAAGCAGATTACGATTCGAGGGATTGTCGCAAGCTGTTTGATTGGAGTGATTTACAGTGTGATAGTGATGAAGCTCAATCTGTCAACTGGACTTGTCCCAAATCTTAATGTCTCGGCTGCTCTTCTTGCCTATGTCTTGATGCAGACTTGGACTAAGCTTCTTCAAAAGGCTAAACTTGTTTCTACTCCATTCACTAGGCAGGAGAATACTGTGATTCAGACATGCGCCGTTGCCTGCTACAGCATTGCTGTGGGAGGTTTGTAAACCATCTTCTTTTTATTTATTTATTTTACCAATGGTTTTAATCTTGGGTTTTGCATCCATCGCCAATGAGCTAACAGAATCTCTATTGACAATATTCTTGCTTTGTGTAAATAATGTACTAAATCAAAATGGCACACGACACTTCGTTTGCTCCTTACTTTCTATGAAGTTTTGGATAGTGAATGCAACAATGCATCAAGATTCTAATGGAATTAACATCTCTATTAGGGGCAAGGTCGCGTATATCTTGACCTCCCGGACCCCAACATAGTCGGGATTTTAGGATTGTACTTGGGTTTGTTTTTTATGTTGTAATCGATTTCAAAACTGAGTTGTTACTGATTGTGCTCACTTATGAATGGTGTTTAAGGTGGTTTTGGATCTTACCTCCTGGGATTGAACAAGAAGACATATGAGCAGGCAGGGATTGACACAGTAGGAAATGTGCCAGGGAGTCATAAGGAGCCAAAGCTTGACTGGATAATTGGTTTCCTCTTTGTTGTTAGTTTTGTTGGCTTATTAGCTTTGGTTCCCCTCAGAAAGGTTTGTTTTCTGCTGGCCTTTTTTCCCCCATTGAACTATAGATCAGAAAAAATGTGAAGTATCTTAATCAAGCTTTTGTTGCTGTGCAGATAATGATCATAGACTATCAGTTAACCTATCCCAGTGGAACTGCTACTGCTGTTCTGATCAATGGGTTTCATACCCCTAAGGGAGATGGTGATGCCAAGTAAGAAATTAGTACTCCGTACTAAATATCGCAGCACTTGTTTGGTAGGGTGGGTTGTGGAGGGAATGGGAGGAAAGTTGAGGAGTATATTATGTTTGGTTTGGGGAGTGACTGAGGAAGTATTATATTTGTTCTTAATCTCTTTTCTCACCATTTCTTTTACCAAAGCTGTTCTACATTGCTTTTTTACCATATTTTTATTTACAATTAAATTAATACCAAACATAATCCTCCATATATCAAATAATTTCTTCACTCTCCATCAAACCAAACACAAGTAAAAATTCACATATTCTCACACATTTTGTCTTTAGTTAAGACAAATAAAGTAGTTCTTACATACAAATTAATTAAAGAAGTGAAAAAATATGTGTTCCCCACAAAACAGCATAACCCCTTTGGAAATATGACCAACTCTTGCTTCTAGATTAACCCCTTTGGAAAAAGAGACCAGGGGGGGGGGTATCTTTTTTACCACTTCCATTTTGTCCTTCTCTCCCTTATTTGGAGCCAAGCAAAGGATCTTATTCTTGCTTTGAAAAATCTTAACAATATTTTCCTTCTTCTCTATGGGAAACCATCCAGGGAACAGGTTCGTGGGTTTGCAAAATTCACATCGCTCAGTTTTTTGTGGAGTTTCTTTCAGTGGTTCTATTCCGGCGGAGACCAATGTGGGTTTGCTAACTTCCCCACCTTTGGGTTGATTGCTTGGAAGCACTCGTATGTGCTCCTTATCTGTTCTTTTTCAAGGTTTAATAAGTGCGATATCATATAAGAATGATACTGTTTCTATTAATTAATGATTTAGGCAGTTAATTTTGTTTTTGTAGATTTTTCTTCGACTTCAGCATGACTTATATAGGAGCAGGAATGATTTGTTCTCATCTTGTGAACTTTTCCTTGCTTCTTGGAGCAATTCTCTCTTGGGGAATAATGTGGCCGCTAATCACTGCACGCAAAGGTTCTTGGTTCCCGGCTTCAATACCAGAAAGCAGCATGAAGAGTCTTAATGCTTACAAGGTCCAAAGAACATATAAGTCTTTACTTTAACTGGACTTGTAAATAAAATTCACAACAGTTCACATTCATTTTTCTTGACTTGCAGGTTTTCATTTCTATTGCTCTCATCTTGGGAGATGGTCTCTACAATTTTCTTCGGACCGCATTTTACACTGGTCGAAGTATATATGTTGCACTGAACAAGAGAAATTCTAGGACATGTAAGTAAGTCAGTTTATCAAACAAAAGAAGGGTAAATTAAAATACCATTTCCTTTTAATCCAAACATATTCAATGTCCAGATTAAAAGAAAAGAAAGAAACAAATGGAAAGAGCTATGCTTTTGCTTCATAAAATGTTTCATTTGTGAAAAGACAAATCCTAATGAAGAGATATATATTTCCATGGCAGCAGTTCCAGAAGCAAAGAATGAGCATCACATTGACAATCTCCAACGAAACGAAGTGTTCGTCAGAGAGAGCATTCCCTTGTGGGTAGCATGCTTAGGGTACACGATCTTCTCAGTCGTCTCCATAATCATAATCCCAATCATGTTCCCTCCATTGAAGTGGTATTTTGTTCTTGTGGCATACATTCTTGCACCAGCCCTCAGCTTCTGCAATGCCTATGGAGCCGGTCTGACGGACATGAACATGGCATATAACTATGGGAAAGTGGCTCTCTTCACATTAGCCGCGTTGTCTGGAAGAGAAAACGGCGTAGTTGCTGGGCTCATTGGTTGTGGGCTTATAAAGTCCATTGTCTCAATCTCATCAGACTTGATGCATGATTTCAAAACAGGCCACCTCACCCTCACGTCCCCGCGGTCCATGCTCATTAGCCAAGCAATTGGGACTGCCATGGGCTGTGTTGTGGCCCCACTAACCTTCTTCCTCTTCTACAAGGCATTCGACGTAGGGAACCCAAATGGGGAGTACAAAGCTCCTTATGCTATTATATACAGGAACATGGCCATCCTAGGGGTTCAAGGCTTCTCTGCACTTCCCCAGCACTGCTTGCAGCTCTGCTATGGGTTTTTCGCCTTTGCCTTGCTGGCAAACCTGGCCAGGGACGTGGGACCCAAGAAGGTCGGGAAGTGGGTCCCGCTTCCAATGGCTATGGCTGTGCCCTTTCTTGTTGGAGCTTCGTTTGCGATTGATATGTTTGTGGGTAGTCTCATTGTGTATGGATGGCACAAGATGAGCGACAAGAAGGCGACGCTGATGGTTCCTGCTGTGGCCTCTGGTTTGATCTGTGGTGATGGACTGTGGATCCTTCCTCTGTCAATACTTGCGTTGACCAAAGTCAAACCTCCAATCTGCATGACCTTTTTGCCTTCAAAGACATCCTAAAAACAGGATGCAATAAGAACACATACAACAAAATTCTGTGTGAAATGGTGTCACAATGAGAAATGTTATTTGCAAAGGTTTTTTACAAATAGAGTGTAACATTTCAGCTACTAAAGGCTAGTAAAAGTAGCAAAGAGGCAAATGGTTGGACTCCCTTCCTCTAATAATTTTCTTGGCTTAGTAAAAAAATATTAACTTGCCACATTTATGTATATACCATTGGAGGTACTGTACTTTGGAGTATTAAATGAAGTGAATATTGTAGATGAAAGTGATGATTTGATAGCTAATCATTACAAATGAAATGCCATGCACTAATTTTAATTTTTAAGATTTTGTCATAAAAAGAAATGTCAAGAAATTTACGAACAAGCTAAAAAAGAAGCAAGAAAATTCTTAGAGGAAGAAGTAGCATTTTCGGAGTAACAATCAAATTATCAGAATAATCATGTAAAACTTTAGTAATGCAATTTCAAGATCTTCCTTGTACAGTACTCTATCCATTTGTACCAAATACAGAGTACTTATTATTATTTGCTCCCTTCTTGAGTATATTTGTCAACTTTTAATTTTTTAGTTAAATTTGATAAATTGTGACTTCACATTAAATAAAATAGATATTTGTGATACAATTTGATAATAATTGATCCTATTAAATCATGAAGAATACATCTCTATATATAATGACTAGTATTTAACCCGTGCGACGCACGGGGTCGAACACATGTTATTTTTAACTCTGTTAAATTTTAGGTTTAAGTAAATAATTAAAAAATAAAACTAAATATAATATACAATGTTAGAATTTTAATGAATGATACGACATAAACAGAGAATAATAAGTAAAATTTAGGCATATAAAAATTGAAAAGAAGGAATAAATGTATTAATTAAATCCAATTTTTTGGAAAACTTCAGGGTAAATAAAATTTTTTGTGCAATTGCAATGGTTACCGTTGTCATCTAAAACTAACACTTTCAATCATTTCTTAGTTTTCACTCGTGAAATTACAACATAAAGTTGAGTGTGAGTGAATATCGATTTGGTCAAGAATAATCCAACAAATAATACTGTTTAACCTTGACTCTTATTGATCGCATGCCACAATATAAAGATATTGGAAATTGTCTTCTTTGAAACTTAAACGGTAATCCAGAATCTGACGGTACCAAATTTATTCTTCGTATGTAAACTTTCTCACCGGCATTGTTTCCTGATACAACAATTGCACTGATAACGTTTTTTCGCAACTCTTCAACTATTAACCTTGTACCATTACCTAGCCTAGATGTTTGATCAATGTTTCTTAATAACATAATTGATACTCCATTCTTCAAAATAATTATGTAGTTTGGAATCCCCGAACACTTGATTTAGTCTATTAGTTATCTAGAAGCATTAGAAAGATTCTTTTAGTTCCATTGGCAATCAAATTTAATAAGAAAATGAAATAAAACAAATTGGGTAGTTAATTTGTCAGCACTTCTTTAAATAGTCAATGCAACTTTTCCTACTCATCTAGACCATGACTCGAGGGTGTATTTGAGTAGGGTAAGTTGTTGATTCAATTAAGTTAAGTTGTTGATGTGTCTAGCTATGTAGCACTCCATATTAAATCATAATAATAATTAAAATAGTATTAATAATAATAATACCTATTTATTCAGGTTGATGCCCAACTTATAAACTGTCGCATTGGAAATTGCTTATATACGCTTATCAGATAGTATCGTTCTTTTTTGTCTCGGTATTAAAAAAGGTTACAACTTAGAGCATATTTCAAAACTGACTCTCCTTGCAAGTCCAAGCACTCCACGAACATGCTTTCAATACACCTTTGAGTTGTGAGAACTTTTAGGATCTAATCATAATAAATATATCCAATTACAACATTTATAAGGATAAATAAAGTTGTGATGAAACATAATATATTAACCAAAATGAATAATATATACCAATGAGCTTGGCACGTATGAGCCACCAGAGTTGATGCATTAGTGAAGGAAGCCAATAAAATGACATTCAGACATCGATCTAGCACCAATACTTGTTAGAAGTTCATGTGAAATATGAACATAGTGCTATAATTCTATGGGTACAAAATATTTGGTGTGTGAAGAATTTGCAAAGACATGAGTATAGTCATAGGTGAGTAAAAATATTATTTTTTCTATTAAAACAGATACACTCCTAAAAATAAGAACCATACAAAATCTTTAATCCTAAAAACTAAATAAATAAAGAAAGATACTCCCTCCGTCCCTAAATAGATTACAATTTTTTTCTCTCTCCTCTCGATAGCTTTTGTTTGTTTACGCGATTTCATTAAGTATTTGATAAAATAAAATATTCTTGTCACCTCTTGTTTTGTAGAACTTTTGACGTAGTTTTTTAATATGTAATTTTTATATCTTATTGATATACCAATTTGTAAATAAAATAATTTTAAAAAGTAGGAAATTTTACTCCGTAACCCGCAATTTGTAATCAAATTGGGAACGGAGGGAGTATATCACATAAAATACAATTATTATATGTAAATACCAAAGTTTCTGTAAAAATTATACTTCAAAATTTATACATATACTCCACACTTAAGAAAGACAGGCCTTTAGCTAACTATTCTACTCAAGTGGAAGAAGATAAAAACCAATCATTATACTTTATGAAGTATAGGAGAAAGGTAAACAATATGGACTCTTCAATTCTTATGGAGAAGGTTATACAAAAATAAAGGAATATACAGATGAGAGCAAGACATTGATCTCATAAGCAATTGAAAACCATTTATGAATCATATAGGATAGAAAGATTTATAAAGGCGGGAAAAAATTTATCACATTGCACACATCAAAGCCTACATTGTGGTTTGGATTAAAATTCATTAAACCAACATCTAAAGATCATAGAAAAGTCTTCTACTCTAACCAAATCGACATTTGTGATAGTAAATTAAAAGAGAGGAGGGAATGTGAATGGAGTATTAAATAAAGAATTAGAGCATACCCACATTCTATTTTTCTTAAACTGAATTACGGTGAAACTTATGAGAGAGTGTTGGATATAAAAAGAAATATTTGCACTAAAAAGAAATATTTGCACTAAATAGCACTATCTTGGTCATGATACAACGCATCAGGATATTACATATGAATTCAAATATTTTGGTAAACAAATAGGTAGATCAAGAATTGAGAATAGGAATCCATGAAGTTACCAACTGAATAACAATTGCATATGAGTTTTGGGTTTGTCCACGATATCTTCTTGCGGCCATCATCACCTACAAATGACTAAATGAAAAAAAGGGTCACTCAAAGTATGGCGTTAAAAAGATAAATAAATTGTTACAACTAAATGAGAAAGATAAGGGATGTGTATCAGTACCGTGTCTGTTGTCATAGTGCAAGTACATATTAATGATCAAACCATGTGGAAAGTCCTCCATTGCAATCTTTCTGCAGACTATAATGTGCCAATTTTCATTTTTTCTCTGATCATTTTCTTTCCTATCCTGCCACAAAGAAAAGAGCAGAAGATGTTTAAAACCTCATAAGAAGCATAAGATGATGCACAATTATTTAGAGTGAACGGCCAACAAAAATCACAATTATACCATATCACATGATGAATAGCTACATGTGAAACCCGGGGCTTTCTGCTTGCAATCCTCACCAGTGTTGCTGCAGAACTCACGACCAGACTTGAGGTGAGCCTGCTTGCTTCCTGGATGTCCACATAATGAACAATGTGGAAGTTTTGGTTTTCGAGGGCTCTCACTGGAACATGCCACGAAATCACCACCCTCCGCACTCGCAATATCATTTGATTCCACAGTTCCTCCCCTGCTTATTTCCAGTAACCTATATGGTAATAAATGAGACACAACTGTTGAGGAAAAGCTGCTTACTGCAAAATAAACATATTCTTCTATAGTGTATAATGTTCTGAATCATCCCACATGCAATGTTGTTAAAATGCAAAAAATTAGAGCCAGAGTATGTTATCTAAAATTTGAAGCTACTTTAAACATAAAAAATAAGCATGTATATTACCTCTAAAATTTACCTAAAATAATAAAGGAATACAGCTAATTGTTTATGGTGTAAAGTTTTGATTAAATTATAAAAAATCTCATATCAAGAAATAAATAAAAAAAAACTAAAGATATAATACCATGGTAAACAAATAGGTAGATCTATAGAAGCGAATCCATTAACCTTGATATTGCTTGAATATAAAGAATATTCAGCATCGTTATTTCTAAAATCACATGATTTTGTGTCAATATTTTCCACCACTAATAACATCAATTATCTAAATGAACAACAACATTTCTTTGAAATACCATAAAAGTTTCAAAATCAAAAGACATATTAGCACAAAACAAATAAAGTTAGAAGGATTATAAAAGATCTGATGAATACGAAAGAAAGAAAATTGCAATGTTAGAATATATGAATGCCAATTTGAGCTTGGATTATATGAATGTCATTCATACTTGCCAACGGAGACCAGCTGAAGTTAGCCATGGTCGTCACTTTCAGCCAGAGGGTGTCCTTCACGCCCTTCTGATCACAAACAGGGAAATCAAGAATTGAGAATAGGAATCCATGAAGTTACCAACTGAATAACAATTGCATATGAGTTTTAGAAACAAACCTAATTCTTGAACCATTGAAAAAATCCAAGCACAATCAGGGACCTTTCTTCAATGACCTTTCTTTTGGTGAAGTATAAACGCAAAAAAACTTTGTAATTCTGGGAAACATATTAAGAAGAACACGAATTTAATAAAAAGTAAATCCGAAACTGGGAAACAAACCTAGGTCTTGAAGCCACAAACACTTCTGTTCACGATTAAAGATTCTCGTAATCTTGATCATATGGAGATTTCCTTTCGTGAATAATCTGTCTATAGCGATGAATCGATGTGAAAAATCTGCATATTTTTGGAAGAAAGGATGTGCATATTGCGATGGACCTGCGATGAAGACGGAACTAAAACCGGAATTTTCTTTCTTGGGAGACGATTAAGTTGAAGAAGTAAAAAGCTTATGCGTGTAAACTTGTCACTATTTCTAGTAAAAGAGGGTGTCATCCAATGAAAAAACTAAAAAGGTGAACTTCTATGTTAAAATAAAAATAAGACTTCGAAAGGCTTTCCTGCAGTGGAATTACTGGAAGAGCAAGGAGAAAGAGCAGAGAAGCTTCTGTGCGCAGACTTCGGAAGGCTTTGGGCTGAAGAACTGGGCTGATTCTGGTGCTTTTTCGCCATAAATACAATAAAAGCGCTGAGCGATTTCCGGATCGTGCAAACTGATATTTTCTCCAGGAACTCTATTGAAGCCTGTTATCCTAGCGAAGCAAGAGCCCTTTTGGCATAATCATCTAGGGGTTCTTGACACTGCTCAAAACAAATCTTCTCAACCATGGTTTTTGAACCCATGGAATGACCCCATATCATTTGAAAGAAATAATATTTTGCAAAGAAATATAATCGCAAGACCCGATTTTGCTCCACAATACATAAATACCCACAAAAAATTTGGGAAAAAAATACCTAATATGAAGTCTTTCCTTCTTGGAGAAGATGGAATGTTGATCCGGGAGTAGACCTGGATCGGCTATTGATTCGGACGAAGATGGAAGATAAATCCCGGATTTCTCCCGAAGAAGATGGAAAGGCGTGAAGAGGCCTCTTCCGCTGGAGATTGGGACGACGAAGAAGAGGGGTGAATTAAGTACACTTGTCATCATGTAATACTCTCAAATATTATATTAAAGGATTACATGAGAAAGTTCTAATCATAGTAGAAAACAATGGTAACAATACAATAAGGAGTATTTATTTTCTATTATCTAATATTTCTAATATCCCTCTGCAAGCTGATCATCGGTAACAAGGAGCAGCTTGAAACACATGTACTGAAATTGAGTTGGCGGAAGTAATTTTTGTGAGGTTAGCCTCTAGAAGTAGAGAGTCAGATCTTCATTGCATAACAAACGAACTTGAGTTATTTTTCCATAGAATTCTCCAAACGAACTTGAGTCTTGTTTTCATAGAATATACCTATTCTATTCCTTTAAAAGAATGGAGAGATTATTTTGGAATAACCCAAAAAAGAAAAGCGAGGAGATTAATTTGACATAGACCCTATTCTTTTGAGTTGGAATTTCAGAGTTGGATGTTGGATGAAACTGGAAGTAGTTGGAAGAAACTGAAAAGAGTTAGAAATTAGAAAACACTTGAAAGAGTTGGGAAATGTTAGAAGAATTAAAGGTTTAAAAGTCACTCAATTGAATAATCATCTAAATAAATATGTAAGAAAATTCTAATTTTAGATAAAAAAGAATTCATTCTTATCCGTATTTGAGGTGAAATGTTATAAATTTGGATATATAATGTAATTTTATATTAATGATATGTAAATATCGTTTTTAATTTTTTATTGGAAGAAATTAGAAGGAGTTTAAAAAAATTAGAAGTTAATTTTTTCAACCCAAAAGAGCAAGCTCTAAAACACTAAATAAACTGCCAACTAAATAAACCTTGTTAAGCATAATTATGAAAGCTGGGTCTAAAACACTAAATACAAGATCCAAATACACTAAATACATTGCCAACTAAATAAACCTTGTTGAACGTAATTAAGCATTTATATAGAATTATCAAAAAGCATATGAAACATTTTTAGAGTGCACGAAAATAGAATCACGCTATCAATCCCTTGGAGGGGGCGGTGTGTCTTCAATACTCACTCTGTCCTTGCCATGTAGGGTCATGCCGGCTTGATAGGGGGAGTACTACGCAATGTTTTGAAAACTGGACTTAAAGCTATTACTTTATAATAAAAATAATATTTTGTCTTTGTTCATATGGTCCATTGTTCGATGTCTGGTCCATTATTCATATACGCATTCACACTTTCTATATTTAATTATAATTAGTACATATTTCTTCATTTTATATATGATAATATTTGTTTATATATAAATTATTCATTATTATATTATAAAAAAATAATATTTATTGTTTTTCTTTGAACTATTTTCGAAGTTTATAAAATACTTACACTAGACAAACATGTTCTTTTTTATAAGTTAGAATTTTTTTTAATTTACTCAACTCAAAAGACTAAATTGTCTAAATATAATACTCCGTATTTTGCATGGCTTTAGAAAAGTGTTTGGTAGCTTAAGTAGAAATATAAATAAAAACATTGTTGATAGTGGATTTTCAATATCATTGTTCACTATTATTTTATTATAATAGTACATATTTCTTCATTTTATAGATGATAATATTTGTTTAAATATAAATTATTCACTATTATTTTATAATAAAAGATAGTATTTAATTTTTCTTTGTACTATTTTTGAAGTTTATAAAATGCTTACACTACATAAACATGTTCTTTTTATAAGCAGTAAGAAGTTTTTTTTAATTCACTCTCAAATAAAAAAGACAAAATATTATATTTTGCATGGCTTTAGAAAAACGTTTGGTGGAAGTAAAAACAAAAACATTGTTGAGAGTGGGATTTGAACCCACGCCCTTTCGGACCAGAACCTTAATCTGGCGCCTTAGACCAACTCGGCCATCTCAACCTTATCATAAATATTGTACATTGGTTATATATTGTATTTAAATATTTGACCGCCTTATAAGGTGTACTTTAATTCAGAGTTCAAGGTTTAGTCAAAACAAGCCCAACAAATACTGTCACTTCTAAGATTACAAAACTTTGGATATATCTTTATAATATAAAATTTTATTTTTTATTTCTACAATAACTCTCACTTCTAAGATTACAAAACTTTGGATATATCTTTATAATATAAAATTTTATTTTTTATTTCTACAATAACTTTTAAATAAATTAAATTAAAAATTTTTGAAATTTTGCATCATTTAAGTCGTCATGAATAACTCATGATATCCATTAAAGGACGAAGAAGGTAACATGGGAAGTTTCCAGAATTTAATCCAATTTATGTTCAAGTTTTTTCCTTCTTTATCAAACTGTATCAATTTCAATCATGTTCCACATACTTTAGCCTCCAACCAGGTTCTTGGGATCGTACACCATCTGAATTTATTACTCATATTATTTTGTCTGAATGAAGTTGATTTTGTTTTCAGAAACTATCTAATAAAATAAATTGTTACCTCCGACTATGATTAGAACTCTCTCATGAAATTCTTATATATAGGGATGTATTCTTCATAATTCAATAAGATTAATTGTTATCAAGTTCCTATCATACCCTATACCCTTTTATTATAATTTACTCTTTTTTATGTATTTATTTAAAATTAGGTTATTCAAGGAGTTCATTTACCGCACTTTATTGTCGTCCGACTCCTCCTAAGCGGATACGGTACTTGCGAAATTAAAGGAAGCTATTGTCGAATCTACTGCCAATCTTCTCCACTCCCAAACTCACGAACTCAATCCACTGCCAAACACACGAATTCACTGCCAGATTAAAAAAAACTCAATCCACTGCCAATGGGGATTTCATCATCGCCGCTCCAATGGGGATCTAGAGATATCATCGTTTGAAATTTCAAGGATATGGCTGCCTCTCGAGATTTCATCACCCACTGCCTGCGAATTTTCAGGAAAATTATACGATACGGAGAAGATCACAAATGCGGTAAGTTTCATTCGCATACGGAACGGAGACCAGCGAAATTTCTTTGAAATTATTGGATACGGAGATGTGTTTTCCTTAGCCGACTTTCTTTCCTTTCCTGGCGAGTTTAACGGAATTCCAGCCTTCGACATCAACCTCTTGCCTAAGGACGGTGTACAATGATGACAAAGTCACTAATTCGATTGAGATGATATTCATGGACGAACATGTAAGAATTTAATTCTTATACGATTTTTGCACACATTTTATGAATTGATGATGTGTTTCTTTTATGAATAGAGTATCAAACAATTCTAAAATTAACAAAGAATGTTGGTTTTATAATCTTTGTTGTCTTTATAGTATGTACTACTCCCCCCATCCCATAATTTTGTTCTCTGTTTGAATTTGCCTGCTTTTCAATAAAGCCAAAATTGTGTAATTGACATCTATTAAAAAGGGAGAGAAGTAATATTAACCATATAATATACGGAGTATCACTAAAAAGACAATGGTAAGAAATATAGAATGTGCTTTAGTAATTTTTATTCGAATTTTCTATTTTCTGTTGCCCCTAGAAGTTAAATGATTTAGGATTTGGTTTTGGCAGTAGCTTCAAGGTAGTCTTGTGTGTGTGTGTGTGTTTTTGTCATCCCCATGAACTTTAGTGCTTCCTTGCACTATAAAAATTATGCTACTATGATATTGAATTTTTCAGATTTATAATCTCTGTTGTCCTTTATTTCATATTTATGTTCCTTGCTGGCTATACTCTGTTGTCCCTATGAACTTTGTTATATTCTCTGCTGTTTATATTTATAATCTTAGTTGTCCCTATAGTCTATTCTCTAAATAAATCCTCAAACTATATTGATAAGGATTATGTTTTACTTTGATGTAAAACTAATTGAACTATAGTCCTCAAAAATTCAATAATATCAATTTTTTAACATTTTGAAGGAAACTACTATCCATGCCAATGTAAGAAAAAGTTTAGTGGGAACATTTGAGAAGAAATTAAAGGAAGGTTCAGTGTATGTATTTGCTTATTTTGGTGCCGGCAATGGCAGTGGATATTATCGCACTTTAAGACATGAGTTTCCCCTAAATTTTCAAGCAAGGACGACTATCATTGAAACCAATTATGACAAAATACCACTATATGGAATTAAATTGGTTGCATTCTCAGATATCTTGCAAGCAGATTCTAACTATCCATATTTAGTTGGTAATACTCATTTCTTTCATTTATTTTTTAAAATTTAATTAGATAAATACAATGAGAATGATTAGTTGCAATGTTTTATCTACATTAATCTGAACATCATCATTATGTTACAGACACTATGGGGATTCTTTCCGCTGTTGATGAAAGAGATATAGTGAAGGAGTTAAAAAGAACAAAGATGATTGTCATCATGTTGGAGGCAGAAGAGTATTATGTTCTTATGTTACTTTAATTAAATTGATGTGATGATTTTCATTCTACAGATAGTATTTTTTCTTTGGTATAACATACAAAGGTTAGAAGAACTAAAGACTTCATGTATAATGAGCCTACTTCTAATGTATCATTGAAGCTGTTGATAAGTAAGACTTCATATATAATGAGCCTACTTCTAATGTATCATTGAGGTTATTGACAAATAAAACGAGAGACTCAAGAAATTATAATATCTCCACAATACATGAATTGAAGTTGGTGCTCTAATAGTTAAAGATCTTGATTCTTAACACAAATTATTCCTCAAGAATATAGTGAACTTCACTTATCCGAACTTATTGGAGAACATAACAAACTATTACTCCGTAGATTCTTTTTTTAAGATAGTGCACTATTGGCACTCGTGCTCGAGGTTGTTGAATGGTAAATAAATTTGTCTTATCTTTTATTCCATGAGATGAAAAGTAGTACTTAATTTCTTATTCTTCATGCCAACAAGTTTGGAATTAAAAAAGACATTTTTTAGTACATTTTCAATTTCTCAAATATTATTTATTCTACCTTGGTGTTTTTGTCCAATGATAAAAAATCGTGTTGGAAATATGTTTACTTGATCCGGAAAATATATTGCATTAAAAAAGTTCAGAACCGACAAAAATTTCGTCGACCCCGTGCATCGCACGGGTGAAAATACTAGTTCTTATATATAGGGATGTATCCTTCATAATTCAATAAGATTAATTGTTATCAAGTTCTTATCATACCCTTTACCCTTTTATTATAATTTACTCTTTTTTATGTATTTATTTAAAATTAGGTTATTCAAGGAGTTCATTTACCGCACTTCATTGTCGTCCGACTCCTCCTAAGCTGATACGGTACTTGCGAAATTAAAGGAAGCTATTGTCGAATCTACTGTCAATCTTCTCCACTCCCAAACTCACGAACTCAATCCACTGCCAAACACACGAATTCACTGCCAGATTAAAAAAACTCAATCCACTGCCAAACTCGCGAATTCACTGCCAAATTAAAAGAATCTATTGTTGAATTCACTGTCAATCTTCATCTTCTCCACTGCCAAATTAAACGAAGCTATTGCTAAATCCAATGCCAAATTAAACTAAGCATCATGTATCTTCTCCCATCTTTTGCTAAGAGGAATCTCGTCCAGCGCATCATCGTTTGCCCTCGAAACCCTTGCGCGTATCCTTCCCGATGCTGCCTCTGCGTTCAAGGCCATATTTGGGATGTTTTTTTCGGTAATATGGCGTGAAGATCGGATCTCCCGTATGCATGAATCCTGGATGGTCGCCAATTACCAATTTTTTATAATTCAATTTTGAATGTTTAATTTATGACAAAACCAAGAATACATCTCAAAAACCTATAACACTGCTATTTTGAGTATTATAGGGCTATATTAGTGATATTATGATCCGGAAAGGAAGAATTGATTTAATTTTGATCAGTAGAACTTAAATTATGGATTTAAATTCTTAATGTTTTTTGGATCTTAAAATGTGGAATTTGAAAATTTAAAGTTAGAACTGAATTCTAAATCTACATATTTTTTTGCTAAGCTACCAAATAGCAGAATTGGAATTAAAGTCTCCAATTCCAATTCCATAGCCAGATTTCCGTGTACGAACGAATCCTTAGTTTTATTGACTTATTACAATGTACTCTCTCTGTCTCAATTTAAATTGTTTATTTTAGTTTAGTATTATTGACTTTATTACAATGTACTCACTTAATTGGAAATCAAATCTAAATGACTTTCACCGCAAATATTGGAGAATGAATTTTTTACCACTCAACTGAATCAAGTCAAAGGAGAAACTTTGGGTTAGGGGTGTTCATCGGGTCAAATCCAGACCGGACCGGGATCGAATAAGGGGCATTTGGTGGACCGAGTTCCGGACCGATTAAGCTAAGAAACGGCCCGGGACCGGACCAGTAAAACCCGGACCGGACCGGGACCGGACCGAATAAATGTTACTTTTATTTTTTTTAAAATTTGATTTTATTTATTTAATTTAAAGTATTCAATGGAATAAAAGTATTACTACAACTAATTTTTAATTGTAACATACACTAAACATTATCAAACACAATTGTTTTGAATTTTTTAAAAAAAATTTAAATAAAATATATATATCTTCCATCCGTATTACATAAAATCTGTTCATAATTTTTATTTTGCATAGGGAATATTCTTCTTCTTAGTGCATTTTTGTTTTTTTGTAATATTTTTTGAGTTTTCGATTTATTTTGACAAACAGATACATTTTTTACTATTTTTGTTCATGAGATTGTTTACAATATTTGTTCTGCGGATTAGAGTTTTATTATTGATAAAGTACAAATTTAAGTTATAGTATTGGTACATAAATTTGAAATGCATTAGATCGCTAAGATAAAGATAATGTTTACTTTTTCACACTTTTCATATTAAAAATGTTTAAGAATCATTACAATTGGTATCTTATTTTGAATTGAAATGTATTTAAAAAATTATATTAAATAATAAAATCAAATCATTTAAAAAAATTTAGCATTAAAGTTAAACTAATTTTAAGTATAAGAAAAAACCTTAAAAAATACAATATTATAAACTTATATAGAAAAAAATATTAAAAAAAATAAAATCTAACCGGTCCGCCGGTCCGGACCGAAACCCGGTGGACCGGACCGGACCGGAACCCGAATAAGGAAAAAATGAGGACCGGAGACCGGACCGAATAAGGACCGGTCCGGTCCGGTTTTGGCCGGGTTTCGGGTCGGTCCGGGTCTGGACCGAATAATGCACACCCTTATTTTGGGTGGTTAAACAGGAAAAAGTAATTTCCGATAATTTCAAAGACAATGTGACTTGCATTATAGGATTCAAATCACGGTATATTCTCGGTTAGAGCAAATAAATCGTTTGGTCATGTCGAATTTGCTTTTAGTCTTTTCGAATTTGAGTAACTTCATATTTTGATAAGTTCAAGTTCAAAGTGAGAATCGAACTTTCATGATTCACTATTGTCGTGTTTGAGTTAACCCAGCGGGTGTGAATTTTATGATTAGAATACATAAATTCATACTGGACTTGCATTTCACATTCAAAATAATACTCCCTCTGTCCCATATATAAAGATAGGGACATACTCCGAGTATTGACTAAAGTGGTAAAATAAGGAAGAAATAAATTTGTATTGATTTTCTAAAAATACCCTTGATATGATGGGTAAAAGTAAGATGTGATATGTAGATTATTATGAAAAATGTATGATGTGATAGCTAGAGTATGAAAAAGTAAGAGGTAAAGTGGTTTTTAAATATAATTTAGAAGGACTTTTGGGGACGGAGAGAGTAATAAATATATAAAAAATATCATGATTAATTGTAAAAAGTTAAAACTTGATAAGCACTTTAGTACGAGCAAGATTAATTTTTAAAGTATAATTTCAATTAAAGTTGTAATGTAAAAAAAAAGATGCTCACTCTATTTTGATGAAAAGTCAAAATTTGACACATTTTAATAGTATAAATGATTTATTATATCCTTGAATTGAACAAATCATAGTTTTAAAAACCGGACCGAACCGGCCGGTTCGGACCGCGAACCGGCGAACTGGTGGTCCAACCGGTCCGGTCCGGCCCATTGGACCGTAGTGTGCTTCGAACCGGTATGAACCGGTATGAACCGGCCGGTCGGACCGGTCCGACCAGTTTTTTTTTTCCAAAACTTCACTCCATAGAGGTTTGAACCCAAGTCCTCTTAGCTATTCAGTTGAGTTCCTAACCATCCAACTAACGGTGTTTGTTGTTTCAAATTCGTATAATTTTTTTAAATATTTCATAATTAATAAAAAGATTGTATAAAAATTACTTTTCAATTTTAAAAATATAATACGTAGTATTATATGCTATGAGTCAAACACAAGATCATTGATATGTTTTTAATAAAATTTTACTATTATTTTTAACATGTAAGTTTTATCTTTTAATTTAGTAAAATAACTCAAGTATGTTAATATAATTTTAGTCAAATATTATAAATTACTTTCTTTATGTATTTATATATGAGGATGTCTATACACACACACACACACATACATACATATATATATGTGTGTGTGTGTGTGTGTGTGTGTGTATGTATATGTATATGTATGTGTGTGTGTGTGTGTGTGTGTATGTATATGTATATGTATGTGTGTGTGTGTGTGTGTGTGTGTGTGTGTATATACATACTCCCTCCGTCCCCAATTTGATTACAAATTGCGGGTTACGGAGTAAAATTTCCTACTTTTTGAAATTATTTTATTTACGAATTGGCATATCAATAAGATATAAAAATTACATATTAAAAAACTACGTCAAAAGTTCTACAAAACAAGAGGTGACAAGAATATTTTATTTTATCAAATACTTAAAGAAATCGCGTAAACAAACAAAAGTTATCGAGAGGAGAGAAAAAAAAAATTGTAATCTATTTAGGGACGGAGGGAGTATATATATATATATATATATATATATATATATATATATATATATATATATATACTTATTTATTTATGTATTTATTTATTTATTTAATTTTTAAATATGTTTGAACCACCGGTTCGACCAGTTGAACCACTGGTTCGACCAGTGAACCAGTGAAACAGTACCTTGACCGGTTCGGTCTCCGGTCCGGTTCTCCAAACTATGGAACAAATATAGACTACTTATGTATATATATTCTTTGTTAAATTTAAAATTTAATCATTAATGCACACAATAAAAGAATACAATTTTTGAGAATTTTCCCATAGCTAATCAATAGTAATTTATATAAATAAATGAATATGTTTTGATTTTGTGATTCATCCCAATTTGCATCATATGTCAAGAAATTGAATCACAACCTCTATCAAAAGTTAAATTTCTATTTATTACTCTCTACATCCCAATTTAAGTTGTTTGTTTTGATTTATTATATTCGACTATATTTTTTCAATGCAATTTATTAAAGAATTGGAACAAAATTTAATTCAAAGACTAAGGTCTATATATACAAATCAAGAATGGTAACCAAGAGATGCGCCATAGCATATTCCAGTATATGTCTAACTTCTCATGCATATGAATAACATAGCACAAAGCTTTTGCAAGTTGGTATTTGATTGACAAATTAAGTAGCCCATTACAGCATTCTCCATTGTGGTGTCAAAATTCAAATTCTTAATTCTCAACCTACAAAAGACACAAAGAACCCTATAAATTTAATACCAAGTTCACAGTCAATATCATCATATCACGTGAATTTCATATTAATGAAGAAATTTTCTGTCAAATACTTCATTACTATAAATAATGGATAGTTCTCTACATGCAGAGAATGTCTCACATGTATAAAAATATTCTTCTCATGATTAGTCATATTGTTGCACATTGTAGATTTTTGTGAACTCTTTGCCATCACTGCATTACAAAAAAAGGAAGACATAAATGAACCTACATATTCCATATCTGCCGGGTCTCCCATGACTGATTCATAAGTATGTGCTCTCGGGTTTCAAAATAGTAATCCCATGTTATCATGTAAGGAGTAGGAAATACATATAGATCCATAGTCTGCAAAATTAAAATCGAGGTTAAAAGAATAGTTCTTAAAATCAGTCAGCATGAGAAAATTAAAGAGCACTGATATATGCATGTATGTTACAGTAATAATAAAAGGATGAGAGCAAAGAGAACCATACCAATATATAGTAGGATCTCCACGAGATTGATGACACGGGTTCACTTGTCAGGAACAAGTTTCTGACCACCTGGATTCTTGGATCTTTTAGTGGAAAACCTACCGGATTGAATAGTCACACACATCAATCCAGGAATATTAAACCAAACAAACCCAATATATACCACTCACAAATAGTATCAGGGCAGGATGTAGGCAGACAATAACAGATCAACTCAGCCCCAAGGTAGAGAGGTTGTGGTTTCATACACTGATACACTAATGGTATTTTAAAATCGACACAATACACATTTCAATTTTGATTCAAGAAAAGACAATATTAACATAGTACATGGTTGGTTCTCTGCTTCTCCTATTGAAGAGAGAATATCACTGGCAAGCAGTAGAATAGCAAAACTAAATATCTTTAAAAAAATGTATTCTCCCCAAAAATTCTTGTGAACCATAATAGCAAAACTATCAATCCTTCATGTGAATATGAAAGGGAAAAAGAGGCATGTTTCAAGGCTCTGTGAATATGAAAGGGAAAAAGAAGCATGTTCCAAGGCTCTGCGAATATGAAAGGGAAAAAGGGACATCATATGGAAGAGGAGTTAACTCCGAAGAGAGTTTAATTATACTTCATTTCATCCCTAAAGAGAAAATAAACATTCTGAGCATAGAAATTGTATCAAACGCAGAAATCATGAGTCTATGGCTATTATGACCAGATTCTTACACATGATAATGCTAGAAGGACAACATCAACATCGTTTTAGGAGAAATCCCTCACAAGTTTTAGGAGACTCTCGTTGTCGTAAACAAACTCTGTGATGGTCTTGCATGAGTTCTATACAATGAGATGCACTCATTGATGTATCTTGAATAAAAATGCAATTGTTGACCATCTCAGAGTTTGAAAGGGTATACATTTTTATGCCCTTTCAGTTGTTGACAAGTGGGGATCCTCACAGTTCTGTTGATGTATCTTATCATGTTAAGGAAGCTAGGTGATTCTTACATCTCGAAGTCAACTCACGTTTCATAAAAGAACCTCCCAATAATTTCTGGGCTTCGCCTAACGGTGAGTCGACTTGTCCATCATCAGGAAAGACTGAAGCAGCAGCAGCTTTAAAGTTGTTTTCAAACAGAGACCCTATTTCGGATTTTGGTGCAACCATCACACTCCAGGCTTGTAAGTATTTTCCCTACTCTAGGGTGACGTAGGGAATACTAATGAAAGAAAAACATTCTAAAAGTAAACATGAAAAATTGACCAGGGTAATCAAACCTTCAAGTGTGAAGCAACCTTATCCATATCAGTGAGCACTCCAGTAGATTCAACCACAAATTCAGCACCACCTTCAGCCCATGGATTATCTTTCGGGTTCCTGAGACGTCATCCCAAAAAATTCAGGAACACAAGCAACCAAATCCTGAAAATCATCCTATCCGCAAGTTTATCATTACTCATTTGTACCTCAATCCAAACACTCTAACAGCCTTCTCTCCAAATAGAAATAGAAGGAACTTCCAAGGATAACTGGGAAAAAAGTAGAAACATGAGTTCAAGTACTAAAACACATTTCCTAGAAGGATGAAAGAAGATTAGTAATAAGTTCACGTTTTTACTATCATATTTCAATCCATAACGAATTAGGATAAGGTCGAATTAGGATCTAGATGTGTCCTTCCAATAAGTGAAATGAACTTGTGGGAAACTTCCTTAACTTGAAGACCTCGTATTTATTTGTCTTTTGACAAATAATTAATTTATATCCTCGTTTGTTTTCCCAATGCAATTGCTATTCAATCTTGCTGTCAAATTTCAGAATGTAATACTCCCTTCCTCCTAATTGAACACAACACTCACTTTCCAATACCCACTAAGGGCCTGTTCTTTAGGACTGGAAAAAAAGAGCTGGAAACTGAAAGAAACTAGAAGAAACTGGAAGGAACTGGAAGAAACTGGAAGGACTGGAAGAAACTGGAAGAAATTGGAAGAAACTGGAAAAAATTAAAAGAAACTGAAAAAACTAGAATAAATTGTAAAATCTAAAAAAAGTTTTTAAAAAATTTTTATGTGTGCATTTTAAATTATTCTCATTCTGATTCTTGTTGATATAAATTATTATTATTGCTATTATTATTATTATTATTATTGTTATTATTATTATTGTTGTTGTTGTTGTTGCTGTTGTTGTTAGTGGTGGTGGTAGTGGTGGTGTTATTACGTTATCTAAATGATTGTCTTTAAAATAAAAAAAATATTACAAATATTATTTTCATACATAAAAAGATAGTTTAAAAAATAATTAGAATATAAAATTAGCATAAATATCAATAGATATTTATCAATTGATACATGTATGTAGCTACGTTTGCATGTTCACTCACATGACATTTTTTACATATGTATGGCTAGGTAAATACTATTTAGTGGATTCTGGGTACCCTTGTATTATTCATATTAAAAAGTTGAAAAAAAATAATGAATATGAATCATAAAAATAGTGAGATGACAAAATGAAATAATTTATAAATTATAGTTATGAACATAAAAGTTGTAATTAAAAAAATTGTAATAATAATAATAATAATAATATATTTTTTTAGAGTGATTTGTCAGAAAGTAGAAAGAATTTGAAGAAAATAAATATAATTGGAAGAAACTGGAAAAAACTGGAAGGAACTGGAAGAAACTGGAAAAAACTCGAAGAACTGGAAGAAACTGGAAGGAACTGGAAAGAACTGGAAGTTAAGAGTTCAAGTCCAAAAGAACAGGCCCTAAATAGACTCAAACTCCCACCACCTGTGTTTTTTTCATCAATGGTATGAATGGAGTATGAATCAAATGTCATGTATAGAATAAAAGCTAACTTGATGCCCATAAATTAGAATACTTAAAGTAAGAATTCGTGCAATTGAACTTGAGATTTTTTTAATCTTCCTTAATTTTTTTTAACTCTCTGTGTGCAAAAAGAGAAGCATAAACATTAAATTTTTATCACATTGGTAATTTAAAAGGAAGAAAAAGTTTACACATTGTGCAATTCAAGTTGAGATAAAAAAATCAGGGATTGTGACATACCTGATACCCAAATAACAACGGACTTGCGGCAATGGCGGAACCTGGAGAGGAGAGGCGATGATAAAAATTGACGTGCTACTTTCATCCTGTTTAACCACCCAAAGTAAGGGTGTGCATTATTCGGTCTCTAAAATATAGGGGCCTATATTTTTTATAGCCCAATTATAATTATAAGCCAATAACCTAATATGTAGTATATTACTGGGTACTAAAGAAAGCAAAAGGCCGATGAGTTCCTCAGTTGTTCCAGACTTCTAGACTCTTCGCTTCTTCGGTTCCTCCGCTGCTGTCTAACGAAACTTCCTTCGCATCTTCCCAATTGCGATTCTTCCTCTTTTAATACAGAAAATAAACCATCTTCCTTTGCCGATTATAATTCCTCAACTTCTTCTTTTTTGGTGAGTTCTTAATTTTTATGTCTCTGTTTTTTTTCTTTCAAATTGACGTGCTACTTTCATCCTCTCAATGAAAATTCAGTTTTGCTGGTTTTTTTGTCCACGGAAGTCAATTTAGGTGCTTTAGATTTGTTTGGAAATTATTTTAGTGTTAGAAATCTATATTTATTTTGCATCTTAAAATCTTAAATGATTCATTTTATCGTTTAATTGCTTCTTAATGTTATAAATTAGTGTTTCTTCTTTAATTTTGTAAGACGAGTAGTTCAATTCTAACTTTTGGTTTTAATCATTGATTTTTTTTGAGTTGCACAGGGCCACCTTAAATGATTGGGCGGCCCTGTCCCAGGACGAAGATCGAAACTGCTCGTATGGGAATGGGGATATCAAAACGGCAATTGCTCTTAGTAAATATGATCTCTATGGATTTTATGTTGTAGAAGTCAACTGGTCTTCTTAATCGACAACCTCTTTGTTTTTACATGAGTAAACTCACATGCATGAGTCAATGATCTCCGTTCAAAAAAACTTATTTTCAAAATCAAAATCTTGAAAAAAATAAAAATCTTGCATTTAGAACAAAATTATTTGTTGAAGAACTCCTTAATTTACCTTCTCCGGCAGATCGACTTCAAGGAAATCTTCTGTGCAACTCATCTGCTTTCGAAGTAATCATTGATCTCTCCTTCTTCACGCCAGATTGCTTCATCGTTCCCCCTCTCTGCGTCTTTTTCTCGATCTAGGCTTGCTTGAATACTTAATATCGCCGGTATCGCCGGTGTTCGTGCAAATGAGTGGGATAGTAGGGCCGATTATCATTGAAGAGATAAACCGTCGGTCTAGGCTTGCCACTTGAATTCCTTGTTATTACAAAACTGCCACTCTAAAATTGGATCGTCCGATCGAAAATGAAATTAAAATTGGGCCGTGTGATGTAGAAATCAATTTTGATTCTACTTTTATATATTCCCTCCGTCCCCCTAAGATGTTCTCATTTTGACTTTTGGTGGTTGGTAAGGAGAGTTGAAAAAAGGTGAAAGTTTACCATAATACCCTTAATGAAAATGGATGGAGTGCATTAAATGAGGTGGGTGAGGTGTAATAAATAAAGTAAGTGGGGGTAGTTGTGGTATTTTAATTGTTAAAAAGTGAAATGAGAAGATCTATTGTGGACAAAGAGAAAGGACTATTAGGAAGATCTGTGGGGGACGGAGGGAGTATATAATAAATGGACATATAGCAGATAGCAGAATTGTACGGAGTACAAAAATTTTAGATGTGACAAAGTGAGTAATTTGACACCTTTTTTTTTAATTGTATAAAAAAGGTTCTCACATATCCTCCTATATACAATGGTAAGAGGACCTTAGGAATAGTGTTCCCGCCATTTTCACCACCATCAATTGGGCCGGACCTTGCTGCTGGACATGCGCCGAGATTTGAGCTGGATTAGGCATGCTGCTGACAATTTATTGGGTTACGTTTGACGGCTTGGTGCGGAGCTCCATAAAGCAATGTAATAATGTTTTGTGTGGAAGTGTGTCATATCAATGCTTTACATCTTATCAATTTAATAGTTAGATTTACAAAATCCAAGCATTTAATGTGCTTAAACTTACTTTCTTTTCCCAAATAATATATATACACCTCTTTCCATCCAAATCTATACCTCTTTCCGTCCATACCAGTGATATTAACATAAGTTTCATAGCTAACAAAAATATGACTCAAAATTCCAAAAAAAGGTCCGTGACAATATTCACTCCAATTGCGGAACTCAACAGCGATAAGAATTCTTGGATTCTCATGTTGAGGGCAATTCGGGTTTACTTCGTTCCTAAGTGGGCGAAAGGTGGAGATTCCATGAAGATCGTCTTTCACGATGAACATGTAATGTATTCTACAAGTTATTACATTTGTTTTTTTTCAACCCAAAATTCATAATCTCATTTTGTATATTTTTTAGGGAACTAGGATTCACGCACATCTTGCTCGGGAGGAAAAAGAGAAGTTTCAAACGCAAATCATTGAGGGTGGTGTTTACGCCATTCGAAATGTTTTTGTCCATGACAACTACCAAAGATTGAAAACTGCTAGCAATGATAAGCTCTTGGGTTTTTTCAAAAAGACCGAAGTGAAAACTTTAAATCGGAGTAATTTCCCCCGGATGATGTTCGACTTGAAGCCATTTCCAGTTCTTCAAAGTCAACCATGTTTGAATGATCAACTTCTGATTGGTATTATTTCTTACAACATTTTTTTAGTCTAAAGCTTCTTTATGAAAATAATGTGTGGCCGAAATAAATAGGTGCCAAAAACTGTCTATCTTTGTCCTTCAAAAAAAATACAGTATTTCTACATTTTATGATTCGAATATCAATATTTATGTATTTATACATTAATATGTACACAAATTTCACCTGAGAAATTTGTACACATTTTATGCTTTAAAATATGTACACAAAAATATGTAGAGACAGATTGGTTAACAAATTGCACTATGAAATATGTACACAAATACAAAACGACAAAAACACATAATCATAACAAATATACACAGAGACAAATTTCACTTTAGAACATCCTATCCTATCATATCCTATCCTACTATATACAATGCTAGGTGAAATTTGTGAACAGTGTTCCCGCCTATTTTTATTGGGCCAAGTGGGCTGCCTATAATGGGCCGAGTGGGTTGCTATACTGGGCCAAACCTATAGCAATTAAATTGTCTAAATTAACGTGTAAATGTAGGCGTATAGGTCAGCTTAGGAATGATGGAAAGCACCTCGATCCAATAAATCTACTTTTTTAAAGCACCTCGGTTCAATAAATCTACTTTATTAAAGCACCTCGATCCAATAAATCTACTTTTTTAAAGCATCTCGGTTCAATAAATCTACTTTATTAAAGCACCTCGGTCCAATAAATCTACTTTATTAAAGCACCCCGATCCAATAAATCTACTTTTTTAAAGCACCTCGGTTCAATAAATCTACTTTTTTAAAGCACCTCGGTTCAATAAATCTACTTTATTAAAGCACCTCGATCCAATAAATCTACTTTATTAACTTTATGTCTAATCCATATCTTAATCTAATTATTCAAAAAATCTTTAAGTACATGGACATTAAATGTGATAGTTTAAGTTGCCTCCAAGCCCAAGTGTGTGTGTGTGTGTGTGTGTGTGTGTATATATCCGAATTTGTTTAGAGCATACACATCATTCAAAACACACTAGACTCGTACCCGTGCGATGCACGGGCCGTAAAATTACTTATATTTAGTCTTGGTTTGGAATAAAATAAAATGAAAAAAATAAAAAGATTACAAATTTATTAAAATTTCCCAAAAAAATGGTTTTGTACATCAAGGATTGTAGTCGAAATGTAGTAATATAGTTTTTGGAACACTTCTTTATAAACTACATTCGTAGTTTGGTTTGTTGATGGAAGATCTTTATTGCAAAAGTACTTTAATACGAATTGTGTGTGTGTGTGTATATATATATGGACATACCATTCATTATGTTCGACAATGGCGATGGAGTGCACATATATGGCATTGTTGAATTTTTAAGTGGATCACATTCCAAGACAGACTTTCTTCTCAAATTTACTCTACCAAAACTCTTAAAATTGGAATTATCTTTCGAAACATTGCATCTTCCATTTTCTATTCCAAACATTTAAGTGATATGTTTTAAGTGTGCTACAAAAATAATTGTTTTAAGTAGTTGTAGTAAATGCAAAGATTTTCTAAAACCCATTAAATCTGTACATTCTTTTTTCTGAGGATGGTTCATTATTTTATGGAAGCATACATTTTTTTTAATACTTTCAAGAATATTTTCAAACATCGAAAGGTAAATATTTCAAAATTTAATAACATCATATTCATTTTTTTCAAAATCTGTTCATGAACAATCCGTTCATGAACAATCCATTAATTTCTTCTTTTCAGGTTTTGGTGGAGTAAATTTGAGAAGAAAGTCTGTCTTGGAATGTGATCCACTTAAAAATTCAACAATGCCATATATGTGCACTCCATCGCCATTGTCGAACATAACGAATGGTATGTCCATATATATATATATATACACACACACACACAAAATTCGTATTAAAGTACTTTTGCAATAAAGACCTTCTATCAACAAACCAAACTACAGTTTATAAAGAAGTGTTCCAAAAACTATATTACTGCATTTCGACTACAATCCTTGATGTACAAAACCTTTTTTTGGGAAATTTTAATAAATTTGTAATCTTTTTATTTTTTTCATTTTATTTTATTCCAAACCAAGACTAAATATAAGTAATTTTACGGCCCGTGCATCGCACGGGTACGAGTCTAGTATATTTATAATAAAAAATAGAAAAAATACATAAACTAATACCAAAGTTAAAGAGAAGAACCAAAGTATGCCACCCACCTCCTCGGATACCACTTCCACCTCAAAGTAAGTACATACGGAGTATCTCTTCAGTCTTCACCAGCTTTACTAACGTTACACTCTGCAAATTAAAGTTCTGTTCCACTCCGGTGGGATACCACTACGTACTATCCATCTATCATCATCATCATCATCACTAACAACTCTACACACACAAGCAGACATTCTGTTTTCATGGTGGTTTGAACTAACTGGAAATAAAGCTCCACCCAATCCCATTACGAACAACAAGAAGAAGAAGAAGAAGAAGAAGAAGAAGAAGAAGAAGAAGAAGAAGAGGAAAAAGTTCAATACATAAACATGTCCATTGCATACATATCGCCGTTGTTAATTTAATTTGTTATGTTTTCAATTGGGCATCCGTTTAACCGATCCGATCTGTAATGGATTTAATTATATATGCAGCAGCAGAAGCCAGGGAGACGCCGGTGGATGTCACTAAGGCCGCCAGAGAAAACAAATGTCCCCAACAAGGTTGAAGTGGAAGGATGGGATGAGTCGTCTCGCCGCGAGAATAAACAGACAATGGCAATGGCCATGGCCACGGCGGCAGCCGCGGAGGCCGTGGCGGCAACGGCACAAGCGGCGGTGGAGATGATTCGCCTCACCAGGCCTTTCCTTCTCGTCAAACAGCAACGGGCTGCTACTTGTATCCAGACCGCTTTTAGAGGATACTTGGTACTCCGTAATCCATTAATAATTGCCACACAATTCAATAATATACTCCATCAATCCCAAAACTATCTTCCCACACAATATAAAAATATGAACTTTTTAAATTTTATTTCAAAAAGAAAATATTGATATTAAATTTATATCATAACTCAATCTATATATTTTTTCAATATTTTATGGGATGTTTAAAATTTGAAATTTTTGCTCATGAAAAAAGAAATCTTCTTGGATAGAAGTAAAAAAGCATACAAATATCAAAATAAACCCTAAATCTTTTTAATTCAGAATAAGAATTTAATGACAATGTAGGATGTATATTTAGTTACAGGCCCATGAAAAATACTTAGAGCCCATGAAAAAGTAAGTGTCCTAAGTTTTTTCTAGTTTGTTCCAACTTATTCTAGTTTTTTCTTGAATCTTTTAATTTTTTTTTTTAATTTCTTTCAATTATTTCAGTTTTTTTCTCGTTACTTCAAATTCTTTCTAATGTGTTTGGGAAATGCTTGGTTCACAAACACAATGGTCACAAACTTACTATTTGTGAACTTCCATGGAAAAAATTAAATGGTCTAAAATGATTTTAAAATAAAATTTTAAATCATAAACAGTAAGTTTGTGAAGTTTGTGAGTATTCTGTTTGTAAATCTAGCATTGCTCAATTTGTTTTCCAGTTTTTTCGAATTTCATGGTAATGGGCATTATTATTTTGGTACAGGGGAGAAAAGCACTAGGAGCACTGAAGGGGGTGGTGATGCTGCAGGCGGTGGTAAGAGGGCATAATGTGCGGAGGCGGGCAAAGATGACTCTACAGTGCATGCAGTCGCTGGTGAGAGTGCAGACTCAGGTGTGCGACCGACGAAGAAGACTGTCGTCGTGTGAAGGGATGAGAATGAATTCTTATGATTATCATCATTGGTCACACGCCCCAAGATCCCCCGCGGTGAGTGAGTTAATTTACCATACCAATTCCCAATTACTGCTTATTAAGCAATCGAAAAATGCTAGGGGTACACCAAATGTGTATTTGTCCTCCCACCCCCTCCTTGTCTACAAAAAGACAAAAAATTTAAAAAAAAATGAATAAATAAAAATAAAATAAAAATGAGTGGTGGAGAAGGGGTGGAGTACACCAAATGGTGTACCCCTAGCATTGCTCTAAGCAATCTCTTAATTACCTTCATCCTCATTTCATTTTTATGCTCTCCGATTTTCAAACTAGACTCTATGTGGGATACAGAGATTAGTGAAGCCTAGTTGAGTTGTTTTGCAACAATGGATATCTATATGATACTCCGTAGTATATTAAATTTACTCTTATTCTCCCTCCTTCTCACAAAAAAGTTCCCATTTTAACCATAAATTGGTCAAACATTTACACGCTTTGACCATAAATTAAAAATAATCTAAATAAAGAAATGCTAAAAAAATTTGAGATATCAAAACTAGATCCTAAGATGAATCCAATTATATTAAATTTATTTTATAATTCAATATCCCTTTCTCACAATTTGTAATCAAAGTGTGGAAATGTTTGACTAAATACTATTCAAAATGGGAACTTTTTTGTGGGAGGGAGGAAGTATTATATTATACGGATAGAGTAATTTTGATTCAAACATCAAACCAAATGTTTTATGATGCAGCTGTATAACTCTCAATTTGACAATCCTCTCCCAATTTTTGTTAGGTGGGACTTGGGAGTATATGTACTTGAAATATTGGCAATATTAAAATGGAGAGACGTTTTTTAATGAAATATTTGCACGAAATAGCACTAAAACTTAAGTCATTTTCCTAAATAGTACTTAAACTATTTTATTCCCTAAATATCATTTAATAATGTCGAGAAAGAGGAATAATGTCCAGGAACGGCAAACTTTTACTTGAATAATGACTAATAGATAATGACTAAAAGTGCTAAATTCAGAAAAAAACACATATGATGCTATTTAAGAAAAGTCATTATATTTTAGTGTTATTTAGCTAAATTCCTTTTTTTAATTGTAGTACGTATAAAATTATAAGATCGATAATTCAAGTTTTTTTAATAATGCGGGAAAAATTAAAGATTGATATGATCACTATTATTTTTTTGTATTAATATTTTTAAAAGTTATAATGGGAGAAGAGTTATAAATTTGTAAAAATTCATTAAAACCAAATTATTTATATTTGACATTTAAATGCTATATGACCCCTAAAACAAGTCATTTTAACGATCCATATTGTGGAATCGTAAATAATTTCGTACCACCCTGGAACTAGTAGTCTCCTTGTCCGATTTAGTTATCATCTTCTTCGGTCACCCTCTTCTCTTCAAGGTCACATGTGGTGGCCAAGTAAGGCGACGGGAAGGTGGAACGAAATTGTTTGCAATTCTACAATATGGATTATTAAAATGACTTGACCTGTTTTATAGGTCATAGCATTTAAGCGTCAAATATAACTGATCAAGTTTTAGTGAATTTTTTCAAATTTACTCCATCTGTCCCTGAAAACTTTTATTCTTTCTTTTTTCATCTGTTCTAAAAAAACCTTTCTCATTTCTATTAAAAAGTACTTTCATCTCTACTAATTCTTAATCTACGTATCACATCACATCTATTCATCATTAATCTACCTATCAAATTCTACTTCTTTACGCATCACATCAAGGGCATTTTTGAAAACACAACACCAAAATATACTTTCCTTAAAAATCTAAATCTCCCATATTTTAAGGGACAGAGGGAGTATAATTCTTCTCCCTTTATAAATTTTAAAATGTTAATACAAAAAATATTAGTGAGGCCATGACTCTTTTCCCTCACATTAATTTAAGAAGACTAGAATTCCCGGTCTTACAATTGTAATACGGAGCATTAAAAAAATACTTATCTCGACAAGGTTCGATTGGCACTCTGGTACCACTAGGAACTTGACTTTAGGAGCACATTGTGTAAAATTGAGGGTTCTACCCTCTGCCCCAACCATACTTCCCTTAGAGAGTGGTTGGGAGATGGGTACAATTTTGCAAACCAAACACCATAGAGGTGCTCCAAACACCCAGTTACACTAGAGTGTCACCGTACTACGGTGTCAATGAAACCTTGTCGTACTTCTCCACCACATTAATTTAGGTGGGAGTATGTATACTCGGAATACGTAAATTTAAAAGGGGAGCTAGACTTGATCAGGTGGGAGTATATGGTAAGACTGCTTGGTGTGTTTGCCAAAGGACGAGTTGGGAGAGGCCATCTTAGGTAGGACAACGGGAAGGCGGGACATGGCACTGAGTAAGCAGAAGGGGAAGAAGGGGATCCATGATATACACTAAAAAAAAACTAAGTAAGACTAAAACATGAAGAAAGTACCAAAATACGAACTTCATATTCTTTATCTTCTAAATAGGAGTACAAAATCACTAATGCCAAAATATAGTGGGATGCCAGTATAGAATGCTATAATGTCAGTATAGAATGCTATAATGTCACCGTGCAAACTTTTATTTAAGGATAAAATATACAACTTCTATATTAAGGATAAATGCTATCTTTATTTCTATTTGTGGTGATTTCTTCAAACCTAATTATAGTTTTGCAATAAGGCAATGCAATCATTTTTTTTGTTTTTTGTTTTTGTAATGCCAAATTGTCTTTAAGTAGATGTGGAGCACAGGTAAGGAGGAAGAAGAAAGGGTAAGCTATGAGGAGCTTTATGACACAGCAAGATTCAAGCTGCAGGGACGACGACATGAAAGCAGCATTATAAGAAAAAGGACTTCCTTTGATCAACCAAGAGATCCTCTCCCTTTCACCAGAACAGTCGAAATGGACACTGCCCGTTCCTGCCCGGTCCACTCTTCCCGCACTCCTCCACGCAGCATCAAGCCCATCTCGGTCAGCCCCCACGGTGATCACCCGACACCCGAGACCCCAAACTCGCTATCAGCTGGCTACTTTCCCAGGACACCTCGGGCAGTGCCGAATTACATGGCCGCCACTGTATCCGCCAAGGCCCGCTCACAGAGTTCCCCCAGGCAGCAAAGGCCTTCCACACCTGATAGAGAATTTATTAGTTCTTCTGCAAAGAAACGGCTTTCTTTCCCGGCAGCAGTTGAGTCACATTCATGGGAAGAGGATGCATGCAATTTATCCTGTTGTGGCTAATTTTGGTTTTTGAACTTTAGGGTAGTTTTTTATTTATGAATTTAAAAAAAGATAATGTAACTAAGGACAAAAGGAAGGAAGTATTTATATGTTCCCTCCGTTCCTAAAAGCCTTTCCACCTTTATCTATCCCAAAAACCCCTTCCAATTATATTAAGAAGTTACTTTAACCCCGTTTTGCGTTATCTGATCAAATAGGTTTAAGGTGTGAAGTAATTCACGGACATATTTCAAGTTTTTCTCAAATAGACCATTTCCGTTAAAACCTAGCACTGATGCATGGATTTTAGTGCCCGATTTATTTTTTGGTGTGGCGTGACATTGAGTCATGGTTATTATGATCTTGAATAAATTTCATAATTGGTCCTTTATAACAAAGCGATTTCCATATTCAGTCCCCTATTGTCAAATATTACCTCCGTAGTTCTTTTTTGGTGAGTTTTCTGTGTCTTAATAAAGTTTGTGGATTTTTAGTGATCAAAATTTAGCTCTATGATATATAATTAGTGTCACGGGAAGTGGAATGTAATTCATTCTACTACTGCTCATTTGCGATTGAAAATTCAAATATTGTGTCATTCTAATTGGTTAAATAGGAGAAATTATATAGGGACACGAGAAAGTGGATGTAAAAAGTTCTCAAACCATTTTTTAGAGTAAATTTCACTAATGATATCTGAATTTTAGCTGGAATTTCGAAGTGGTACCTAAACTTCAAATCTTTTCAAAAAATTCCCGAAACTTACACAATTCTTTCACTAAAAGTTCATTTGCCTGTTTCTAGGTTAACTTCCGGTCATTTGGGCCAAATTAGAATTTTATATATTTTAAAATTTTTAATTTGACCCCATTTCTTTTGTTTTTTTCTTCCGCTCCCCGCCGCCATCACACCACCTCAAACTCGCCGGAAAATTCTCTTCGTCTTGAGATGAGGATCAAGAATATCCAAACCATTTTGTCCAATTTGGCCTACAACTCTTCGAATTTGAATTTTTCCACTCAAAAAAACCCTAAAATCTGAAATTGGGGGTTTTTCCAAATCGTCATCAAATCTTGCAATTGAGGGGTCCTTGGAGGTCGCCGAGATGCAACGAACACATTGGAGGGGATGAGCGGCGTCAATTTGGCCGGAGGTGGCCGGAAAACGCCCCGGCTCGCCAGAAAACGCCGGATTGGACTAGTCAAACCGCCAAATTAATTATTTGGATAATGGCTTTTGGAATTGGCATTTAGAACCGAACAGCCAAAATTTGAAATGCCAACTCTAGCAGCATTTCATTTAGCAGTTCACCCTCTTTTCTGTTTCCTACCCTTTTCTCGGTGTTGCGTCTCTTTGTAATCCTCACGGCACCGAAATTGGTGTAGAGTATCTTTATATATTTATGATATCATATTTAAAAAATTATAAAATAAAATATATCATGCATGGTTGTTATTTGTAAAGTGATAAATGAGAAAAATACCAAAATAATCTACTTATAAAATATAAATGTAAATTCTCATTTCTTAAATTAAAAAAACGAAGTATCCTTTTTTGTCCAACAAAAAATACATATGTTAAGCATTTTCTTTTATAATGTGTGTATTTTATCAAATTAAAAAAAATTAAAATCATACACAAATTAACATAAATGGAGGGATATCCTTATATGTAATTTTACTCACAAACAGCTAACTATACACAACTAAAGTTGCCAAACATCTAGTTTTACACAGCTAATAGAAACAGCCGGTCAAAACAGTTAACTCAATCAGTCATTCAAACCAGTCAACATAAACAGCCAATAGCCAACTGTCATGTTCCAAACAAGGCCAAAGATCGATTGTGATTGACTACAAAAAAAAATTCGAAATAACCAAATATTTGGTGTGAGATTTCATGTAAAAGCTCAAAAGATTATAAATTCTTTTGTTGAGAGTAGGAGGGAGTATGTAATTTGTAATAATATACTCCCTTTGCAAAAAGCTTCCTCATTCCTTTTGTAGAAAAGTTGGAGTGGCTCACACATTTTCTCGACCCTCTGCATCACTTTCGACCACATATTTTCATTTTCTTTAAAATGTATGTCAAGTCAAACTGTGAAGCTTATGTTGGGGCGGAAGGAGTATTAAACTAATTTTATATCCATTTAGTTTTAAAAATAATAAAATTGTAGAGGCTCAAATATGTTAACGTTGAAAATCCAAATTCTAAGCCCAAATAAAAAATAGAAAGTTTAGGTTGCATTTCATTCACCTAATCTGATTTGATTTTTTGAAGTTTTGGTTTGATCTGATCTGATAGAATGTGATGAAGTCTAATCTAATCTGTAAATGTCGTGTATACAATATTTTCATAATTATTTACTCCCTCACTTTTCTTTTATACTTATTATAAGTTATTACTCACTAAATAATATTAGATGTTAGTGTTATCATTTTGAAAAGGCTCTCTAGCGGCAATATTTAGTGTTATCATTTTCAAATTTGATCTACATCTTTAAATTTAGATATAAAATTAATTAAATTTGACTCTACTGAATTTAATTTTATCTAATTTAAATAAAAAAACACTCATATAATTTATAAGTTTTGCATTCAATTGAATAGAATTCACTTCATTTCACATAATTTCACTCAATTTTTACCAAATTGTATTCAATTGGAGCATAACTCTATTTGAATTTATCTTTTATCCTTGCATTTATAACATAAATATATTAGTAGATGTGAAAAAATTTTAATATATCAAACTAAATTTTAAAATCCATTTCATTATATAAAATATGACTAAAAAGTCAAAAAGAATTATTTAGGGTGGAGATAGTATAATTAGAAAAATACTTAGTATAAAATAATATGATGTGTTGAATTAATGATGGATTAAAAACGTGATAAAACATAAAAAGAAACATGTATAATTAAATTTTAATTAAAAAAATAATATTTATCCAAAATATATTCAATCAAAATATATTAGAATTGAAACATATGCGAAACTGAAATATATTCGAACCGAACTAGATCCGAGACCAAAATAAATCTGATCCAAATTGTATCCGAACCAAAATCTATTCGAACCGTAATGAAATCGACTCGAAACCAAACCGAAATTGGAGAATGTATAGAACCGAATTAAATCTAAACCAAAATGTAATCATATCTGAACCGAACCAATTATAACATATATCTAAAAGATATCCGAACAAAAAAAAATCCAATCCGGAACTGATTCGGTTGACCCGATTGCCACCTCTAGCGCCAACCTCCGTAGGATCCAAGGGGCAAAGCTGTGAATTTTTATTTTGGACAAAGTGGGGTGTTAAAAAGTCATTTGAATTTTTTTTGGACTTTTGTACTTAACCGAAATCTCATGGATTGCGTCTCACCAATTCGCGTGATTAGAAGCGATCATTGGAGAGAGTTGTGAACTCATCATCCTCCCCCGCGTCTATAAAGCCTCTCGCAAGTTTGACCATCAGGATAGGTCTGCGTACACCTCCCCAGACCCTACAGTAGTGGGATTCAACTAGGTTGTTGTTGTTGTTAAATTCTCCGAACTGTATTCGATTGAAAGATTTGTGTGAACCGCCAAAATGTTTCGATCTGAAAATGACTACACACGCTTCAGAGATTTTAAATACTGATTCCGATTTTCTAAGAGACTTGATAGAGTATTGATCATAATGACCCCACCTACATCTGAGAGAGTGTGAAATAGAGTAGGGTGTGTTTGAATCATTTTTGTTCTAACTTCTAAATCCCCTTGTGCCATCAATGTCCCTAGAAAAAGGCTTTAAGAGGTGTACACATTTGACAAAAACTGCCCCCAAATGATGGCATGAAGGATTTCGTCCTGGACTTTCTCCTAATCCTTTCCTAAACATTTCCATGCCCATATCATTTCCTTTCCTTTCTTTTTGCTCCTTTTCTTTTGAAGACTTCTTTTTGCTCCCTACCACGGAGGAAGTGGCAAGTAACAAGAAACAACTTGTTTGCCAGTTAGACGCGATCTTCAATTCAAATCACAGTTTTGCACAATTATTAGTTCTATAATAATCCCACCAAAATTTGAATGAAAAAAAAAATTCCAAGTGTTATCCATTACAAAAGGGAAGAATAATCTTCTTCAGAAAAATAATAATAATCGAAAGATTTATTTACCGAATTCGCTGACTGCTGACTGGAGAAGAGACGCGTATATATGGCAAATGTCATAAATTTCTCTGGCCGGCGTTAGGTCTGTAATAAAAGTTTTCAAATCTCTTCCTGGCCGTGTGGGATTTAAGTAGACTTTGAGTCTTTGACTGATCGTGATCGGAGCAATTTTTTTTTTCCGGCTATGGGGCATTGTTGCAGCAAGGACGTTACCGGTCACGGCGTCGCCGCCGCCGGAGGTGTCGTCGCGGACAACCAGCGTCCCAACCCGTCGACTTCTCCGGCGCCTGTTCCACGGTCCTCCGCGAATGGGATTGCAGAGAGTCGTTCCAGCAAGAACACTCCGGCTTATTCCTTCACGGCCAGTCCATGGCAGAGCCCCTACCCGGCTGGAATCGCTCCCTCGCCATCTCCAGCTGGCACTCCGAGGAGGAAATTCAAGTGGCCGTTCCCTCCACCTTCTCCGGCTAAGCCTATAATGTCTGCTATACTGAAGCGGCAAGCTCCCGCGTCTGCTAGACCGAGGGAGGGGCCGATTCCCGAGGAAAACGGCCGAGAAGGGGGGGAGAGGCAGCTGGATAAGAGTTTTGGTTATCCTAAGAATTTCACGTCCAAGTATGAACTGGGAAAAGAGGTGGGCCGTGGGCATTTTGGTCATACTTGCCTGGCTAAAGGTAAAAAGGGAGAACTCAAGAATCAAGCAGTAGCTGTGAAGATCATTTCCAAAGCAAAGGTAGGCGGTATGTGCATTTTGTTCCGTAGATATTGTTTGTTTGATGGCATAGAATACCATTCCAATTGTGTAATTCGAATTCCATCTTCTTCTTGGAAGACAAACTGACAAATGAGGTGCACGGCAAATTATTAGCTATAATTGGTAGATATCAATAACTGATTTCTCTTTACTATTAATGTGCAAATGTTGACAACTATTTTAGGCTCCCTTGCTTTGCCAAGAAAAAATAGAGAAAGAAACGAAAATTGTTGTTTCTTTTTTGTCTAACATTTTAATGGGTGCTGGCTTGATCCCTAGTTTTGGGTTGATAACATCAGGAATGTCTCTCGGTTAATGCAGATGACTACTGCCATAGCCATTGAAGATGTTCGCAGGGAAGTAAAAATTTTGAAGGCATTATCTGGGCATCTTAATCTCATTAAGTTTTATGATGCATTTGAGGATGCTCAAAATGTTTACATTGTGATGGAGTAAGCCTTTCCTTGATAACTATCATCTTATTCTGATATTTTTATGAATCGCCTTACACGCCTTCATATACTTTTGTCTTGCATTTCACTATACTTTAGCATCAGGCGCCTATTTTTGGATTTGTGACATTTGTCTCCTAATAGTGTTACTGAACTGGTTATTCTCTTTTTAAGTGTTTATTATATTTTATTTTATTTTGAAAGAGAAAGGCATTCTCTAGTCGTAACCTTAACCAAGAACTGAACCTTTAAATTCATAGTAGAGCCAAATTATCCGGATTTTGTTGCTGACAAATGATATGGGCACTCATTATCAATTCATGGATAACTGGATAACCATTAATTTTGTCTATTTGCATATCAAACATGACAGCTATAAGTTTAAAATTGCAATCGCGCTAAAGAAATGAAATTTTAATAGCTATCAGTAAATAGAATGTTAAGAGAGTAAGAAAAATGGATAGTCACCCACTCACTTGCCTTAGAGTTCAGAGTCAAATAACCTTACCCAGCAATGTCATTGTTTAAAGAAAGTTTTACTGAAACAAACGCTTACAAAATAGATATAGTTAGGGGCCAATACAACTTTTAATGCTGTTTTGTGTGTGTGTGCGTGCGGTAACATTCTCGTACTTATTTTCAGACTAGTTTTTCACTCCTTTTTCTTACAGATTTTGTGGAGGAGGTGAACTATTAGACAGGATTTTGTCAAGGTAATATTTCACCTCTGTGACACGAATGGTTTATGAAACACACTTCAGCTTAACTGCTTAGGTGCATTTTCACTTTTAATTTCAGAGGTGGAAGATACACAGAGGAGGATGCCAAGGGAGTAGTTCGGCAGATATTAACTGTTGTAGCCTTTTGTCATCTTCAAGGTGTTGTGCACCGTGACTTGAAACCTGAGGTAACACATGATACATCCACTGTCACTGCCAAACTCTCAAATATGAACTTTATTTTGTTCCTCACTAAATGGCTTATACTGGGAATAGATATGCTACATGTTGGCGTAGTTGCAACCTATAATGCCTGTGAATGTGCTTTTCCTTACAGTCATGTTAGCTCCATGTTGGTTTGATAATTTCAATTTTGCATTGGTGCCTTATTTTGGTAACGATTTGTCTTCTTCGTTTTGAATTTTGCATCCAAACTAGAAAACAATAATACTTGGTGACGATGGTTTTCATTTGAAATTGAAAAAAAGTACTGGGTAGGTTGTTAATGTTGTAATGTTGTTTGTTTTGAATTTTCATTTCATTATTCAAGCGTAAAACTTAGCTAGTGTATTTTTGCATCACTTTGTAGTATAATAAATTTGGACATCAATTGACACTATAAATTCCATGCCACAAAGCTCAATGTAGTTATGCTAAGATGATGATTATAATGATCTTTAGCACTGCACTAAAGATGGAATGTGGTTCTCTTTGCAGAACTTCCTCTTCACCAAAAGAGATGAAGATGCTCCAATAAAGGTTATTGACTTTGGCCTATCAGATTTTATCAAACCAGGTAATTATTAGGCTATCCTAGCTCCTTCAAGCTTTTCTGTGCTAGGGGTTAGTTTTTCATCTTCATGATCTTCTTCCCTGAATGCTAGCTCCTCATGCAAATGTAGCTGATCTGTTGTCTCTAAAGTGCTGCTTTTCTTTGAACATAGAACTTATAGGGGTTGGAAATGGAGACACAGCCTTGTTTTCTAACTAGATACCAAGATCTTATTTTATTTACTGTATGACTTACTTTTGTTACACATATGCAACTCGTGGAGAGGAGCTATGGCATAAGTTGTTAATCTTTAATCTTTTGATAAAATTTCTCCACATGTTATTTTTGCTAGAAATTACCCCAAAGTATCTGGTTGCCAATGCCACTTCATGTGTGTGTGTGTGTGTGTTTGTAACACCAACCTACTCCTTGAAGTCCCACAAGTGGGGTCTTGGGGTGGGGTAGGGTGTGTAGAACTTACATATATTGATTTGTACTAAAAGTTCTCCCTTTCTCTTGTTGTTTCCCCTTACATGGGTCTAAACATGAATTGATTCTTTTTCAAAAGATCATTAGAAAATACAAAACCACAAGTTCTTAAACTTGCGCAGATCAACGTCTCAATGATATTGTTGGCAGTGCTTACTATGTTGCACCTGAAGTACTTCATAGATCATACAATGTTGAAGCAGACATGTGGAGTATTGGTGTCATAACCTATATTTTATTATGTGGAAGCAGACCCTTTTGGGCACGCACTGAGTCTGGAATTTTCCGCTCTGTACTACGAGCAGATCCTAATTTTGAGGATGCACCCTGGCCAGGTGTATCCCCAGAAGGCAAAGATTTTGTGAGAAGACTTTTGAGTAAAGATCATAGAAAGAGAATGAGTGCTGTACAAGCACTGAGTGAGTTGGCTCATCTTCTTTATGTTATGTTTCTGAATTGGGCATTTATCTAATGTAGAAGACTCTGGATTGTTTTCTTAACCAAAACTCGTGCCTAAATTTGCAGCTCATCCATGGCTGAGACAGGAAAATGCTTCTGTGCCTTTGGATATATCAATCTATAAGTTGGTAAAGTCATATATCCGAGCCTCACATTTGAAACGTTCTGCACTAAAGGTATTTATAAACATTTTTCGTGTCTGCATGTTTTAGTTTTATGATGTTCTTTGTTATTATTTTATGTTTTGGCCATTAATATTACAGGCTCTTTCAAGAGCTTTGACTGCACAAGAGCTATTTTACCTCAGGGCTCAATTTCAGCTTTTGGAACCGAAAGATGGTTTTATATCACTTGACAATTTTAGAACGGTTAGTGGTGTTCGTCTTTTGTTATTACTCATATTTGCTTATATTCTACAGAGTAGTTTTTATCCTCAGTTTTTATTTCTTTGGGTGTTTTCTTTCACTTTCAAAGTGGTTCGCTTTTTGTCTCAAATGCCCTCCCTTTTTTGAAAAATTTATAAATTCCACGCTGCTAAATTTCAGGTTTTTTCATAACATGTTGGCCTAAAAGTGAAAGGTTTTTAAAAGGTGAGGTCTAAAAAATGGAAGAAATCAAAACAGATAACCAATCGAAAGTGGAAATGCCACGAATGTACAATCTACTATTGTTTTTTCTTACTTTCGACCATTAATTCAATAATTCTTTTGGTATAATTAATTCGCCATTTTCATTCATGCTCAAGGTCCTAACTATGTTGTGAAATTGATGCAGGCTCTCATGAAACATATGACTGATGCAATGAGGGAGTCTAGGGTTTTTGAAATCTTAAGTCTGGTTCGACATCTAACATTATTTTCAATGTGGTTTTCATAATCATTACTATAATGCCATGCAGCTTGATTCTGTGAAATCACAGCTTTAATATATCATGGTTTGAAGTTGTGATGCTTTATATCTACTACTACTAAATCTAGCATGCATTTCAGATGGAACCGCTATCCTATACACAAATGGATTTTGAAGAATTTTGTGCTGCTGCAATCAGTGTATATCACCTTGAAGCCCGTGAAAATTGGGAACACATTGCGAACACAGCGTTTGAGCATTTTGACCGTGAAGGAAATCGTGTAATTTCTGTTGAGGAATTAGCCCAGGTAAGCCCTCTTCCTCTTCTACACTAGAAGATTCTTTGGAAACATATTTGGTTTGGGTTACCCTTACTCTAAGTTGCATGGAGATGGGGACGGGTACTCATACATGAATGGGGAAACATTAGCTTTTCCAAATTTTACAAATGGTTTGGGTGTCTGGATGTTCACAAGTACCCAAACGGGAACGGTCATGGGATAGTATAGCACTTACTCTTTTTTGGGTTGTGCAGGAACAGAACTTGGGTGCGACTGCTCATTCTCTTCTTAAGGACTGGATAAGACCCGACGGAAAATTAAATTTGGTCGGGTATACAAAATTCTTGCACGGTGTGACGATTCGCAGCACGAATGCAAGATTCCATAGATAGCATGAGAGCATGAAACCTTTATGAAGGAGGAGACTCAATAGTAGTTTAGCTGAGATTCTTTATAAGTTTCTATCTACATTATTTTCTTTATTTATGTGCAGTAATGGATAATTTTAGATTTGTTTTTTTAAAAAATTAAAATGCAGAGATCAATGCATCTTTTGGATGATCTTTGATCATGCATATTCTTTTGAATGTTGCAAATGTTCATTTGTTTATCCCTGTAACCGGCCTATGTTAATCTGATTAACCAACCGAGCAACTGGCCTAGTCTATGTAAATGTTTTTACTGCGTCCTCCCGGTATTTATGTTGCAAATGTGCATTTGTTTATCCCGGAGTTATTTTTTGTAAAAACATGAAATTCCTATTTTTGTATTTTCTCTATGTTTTACTCTTAATTAGGGTGATTTCTTAAAAAGTAAGAAGAGATAGTTATGATATTTTGTGAGCAGTGGCAGCAACGAGTAGGATTCTTGCCTCGTTGTGCCACATAAACAATAAATTTAAAATTTTGAGCTTGGCATTAGCGTCCCACCCCACAAACCGTTTTAGGTGCGAGGCACTCCCAATATATTCTCTTTTTTTATTTTCGTTGTTTAAATGTTATTGACTCTATTATAATATAGTATTTGTTCATATTTTTTTCCAGCCTAGCTAACACCTCTGCCAGCGCTGAGCTGACTTTCCCATGAATCATGGGGAGTGGGCTGCTATACTCAAATTAGGGAAGAAGTTCTTATTTTCTTTTAAATGTTTTACTTTTAAAAAAAATTATTTTTTTTGAAGAAAAAGAATTTTTTTTGAAGTAGAAGTTTCTTGTGATAAGATATAGATAACTAAAATAATTTTTATTAATTAAAATATGCAAAAAAAATTGTGAAAAATTGATAAAAAGAATAATTTGTCACTGTTTGACATTGCAAACACTAGTCATTTGCTAACTGGGCTAATTTTTAATAGTTGACATGTGTATGTCATCGTGTGACATTTCATTTTTGACTTACCATTCCCTATGCTCTAAATGTACAAAAAAGGTAAAAGAAAGAGCTTTCTCGTACAAATAAAAAGGATATTTGAAAATATCTATGGTAGACGCAGAAAGTACAATTTAATGGGTATTTTGTGGTCAAAGTTTAATGTAATTGACCACAAAAGTTAAAATGAAAAGAAAGATATGAAACGGAGAGTGTATTCTAGGTAACATTTAGCATTTTGGGAAGTTTCTTGTTAAGTACTCTTATTATGTATGCGATGTAGACTACTGGAAAGTTTCTTGTTAAGTACTCTTATTAGGCAAAACGAGCAGTCAAAAAAGGGTTATAGTCGGTAGGTGACTACCAATCGCCGAAAATAGACTACTGGGTGGCGGTACCCGGGTACCGTTACTGCCTTGATTTGGACATTAAAGCCTATTGTTTGATATTCTAATGTCGTCGAGGATGAGTTCCGAGACTTTGTGTGTTGTATGACGGTAAATGCGGGTGTTAACACTCAACACTAGGTCGTTATGTGTCATGTTTTATAGTAATGTGTTGATCCAACACTTATGCATGATGATATTGTTGTGGTTGATCGAACCTTGAATACAACGATACCAGCGGGCTGGTCGAGCACACGAACTACAAAATGGGTGTTGATCGGATAAAGTCTACCAAGATGAACTCTAGGACTGACCCAAGTAATAATATTAAGAGTTGAGCCATGTGGTGCCTGATGGGACCAAATGCTATTTAGAAAAAACGTACATACGAGGATCCTTGGACTGCATGGTGATCCATCATGTGGGGAATCCATCCACCCAACGGAGAACTCCTTCATTGGTTGAGCATTATGTTAGTTCCATGGTGTTGGCTAATCTTTTGGCAAAATAGAATCCCATATTTGGTAGGTGTTTTACTAGGTAGAAACCTCTATTTGTTAAGAGAAGTTTATTATATTTAGACTTCTAGAGTTGCTGCAGTTTTCGAGGTTGACACAGAAGATGCTACAGCACGATGCTGCAACACACTGTTCGGGATCAGAGGTCTGAGCACGGGATTTTAAGCTGCAATCTGATATAGAGACCTATTGGGACTGAGATTACATGATAATAACTTCAGCTGTACATGCTAAGGAATCCCAACTCTTTAGGCTACTTGTGGATCAAGATTAAGGAA